CCATCAACGTATGCACGCATACTGATTGAATCGCAGCAAACTTAGTCACATTCACACTTACCGGCTGCAGTGAAAAACTACCTCATGCACCCTTACTGGCTGCATTGAAAGCACAGTGTAAATTATTGATTGAAACGGCTTTTATATGACTTATACAGGATTTTAAATAGTGCCTTATCACGTCTTGGTAAAGGATTATTACCTCTCAAAGTGCTTGACAGAATGCACTAAGTGAATGGGAGCATGTTCATTTTTCTCAAAGTAGATCATTCATTTGCTGCTGGCTCAGTTTGGATCTTGGAACAGACTAGATTTCAGATGACTTTAATGGAGCTGCAGTAAGTGTTGACCAGAACCTCAGCTAAGTCACTGGCATTTCCAAGCCTGTACTTCTGGAGTGACAACACTTGGTCTTCCACACTCATCCACACACACACAGGTAGCAACAAATCTTTTTCTCCATCTATCCAAAGAGTTTGCTGGATCACCAACTGGAGAGAACTTGTTGTCTACATTTAGTTTCATTATAGCATTATGCAAAGGTTAGTTAAAGGTAGGATGGGGCCAATAAAAGACAATGACGGCAATCTTGTTGTGGAGGCAGAGGGCATGGTGATGTACTGAACGAGTACTTTGCATCTGACTTCACAACGGAAATGGATGCCCCAAATGCCGCAGTATTGGATGAGAAGGTAGAGGACAAGAGAGGAAGTTCTTAAAAGATTGACTGGGCTCAAAATTGATAAGCCACCAAGACCAGATGGGTTTCACCCAAGGTTGCTGTGGGAGACACTGGTTCGAATAGCAGAGGCTTTGGCCATTATATTTCAATCGTCATTGGACACAGGAGTGGTACCAAGAGACTGGAGAGTAGCTAATGTTACCCCACTCTACAAAAAGGGGCAGAAAGACAAACCCGGAAATTACAGGCCAGTCAGCCTAACTTCGGTAATAGGAAAACTACTGGAGACCGTAATCCGGGACAGAATAAATCTCTACTTAGAGGAACATGAGGTAATTAGAGACAGCCAACATGGATTTGTTAAAGGCAAATCTTGCCTAACAAATCTAATAGAATTTTTTGAAGAGGTGACTGCGAGGGTTGATGAGGGAAATGCGGTGGACATTATTTACATGGATTTTAAAAAGGCTTTTGACACAGTACCGCATAAGAGGTTAATAAAAAAACTGGAGGCCCACGGTATTAAGGGGACAGTGGCAGTTTGGATTAAGAACTGGCTGAGTGACAGAAAGCAGAGGGTGGTGGTTAATGGGTGTTTCTTGCAATGGAAGGAGGTGTGCAGCGGTGTCCCCCAGGGATCGGTATTGGGACCACTGCTCTTTCTAATATATATTAATGATCTGGACTTGGGCATAGAGAGCACTATTTCCAAGTTTGCAGATGATACCAAGTTAGGTAGGGTAGTAAATAGTGAAGAAGATTGTGACGGACTGCAGGCAGACATACACAGAATGGTGGAATGGGCTGACATGTGGCAGATGGATTTCAATGTAGTTAAGTGTGAGGTGATACACTTAGGTAGGAAAAATGATAGGAGGCAATATAGACTTGGTAGCTCAATCTTAAGGGGGTGAACGTACAGAGAGATCTGGGTGTTCAAGTAAGCGAATCATTAAAGGTAGCGGGGCAGGTAGATAGGGCAGTAAAAAAGGCATTTGGTGTACTGAGCTTTATTAGTAGGGGCATAGAGTATAAGAGTAGGGAGGTTATGGTTAATCTATACAAAACACTGGTTAGGCCTCAGCTGGAGTACTGCGTCCAGTTCTGGGCACCTTACCTCAGGAAGGACATTAAGGCACTGGAAAGGGTGCAGAGGAGATTCACGAGAATGATACCAGGAATGGGGAACCTTAGCTATGAGGACAGGCTGGAGAAGTTAGGACTTTTCCCATTAGAGCAGAGAAGGTTACGCGGGGACCTGATAGAGGTCTTCAAGATCATGAAAGGTTTCGACAGGCTAGATAGGGAAAAGCTGTTTCCGCTGGTAGGTGTGTCTGTGACTCGTGGTCACAGTCTTAAGATATCTACCAAAAGAAGCAGAGGGGAGGTTAGAAGAATTTTTTTCACTCAGCGAGTTGTTAGAATTTGGAATGATCTGCCCGAAAGGGCAGTGAAGTCCGATTTGATAACAGCTTTTAAGAGAGAACTGGTATCTGGAGAAGACAGGTTTGCAGGGTTATGGGGAGAAAGCTGGTGAGTGGGGTTAATAAGTTGCTCTGTCAAAGAGCCGGCACAGACTCGATGGGCCGAATGGCCTCCTTCTGTGCCGTAACATTCTATGATTCTATGATAGCATCAAGCTGTTTCCTCAATAATCAAATATGTATCAAAATGATTTCTTTGCCCTACTCCTATCTCGCTTCACAGCATATTCTTTGCTTTGAGATGCTCTCGAAGACATGAAAAAATACTATATCCAATGCAAGGATTGCTATATTATAATAATCCTTGTATTTGATGTAGCATCTTGTCAAGTCTTGAAGATGTCTCAAAGCGCTTCACGTGATTTTCTGTGCAGTGTAGTAAATGTGTATTCTGTAGATGAATGCGGCAACCAATTTGTATACAGCATTGTCCCACAAACAGCAGTCCAGCAGAAAAGAAGTAGTCGTTTAATATCTTTGTTATTGCCAAGTTAGTCTCTTTCAGTCCTTTGGGATCCTAATGTCTTCGCCAACTACCCATTCACTGAAATAATATTTAAAACAATTTATGTTTTGTATTTGCTACTATGACTTTCCAATTCTCTCTCGACAACCTAATCTCTTTGAAAACCTCTTTCTGGACAGTGTTTGAAGCATTCCGAGATGTTTCCTATGTGAAGGACGCTATATAACTGCAAGTTGTTATAATTTATTATTATGTTATCAGCCGCATTTCTCCGACAAAACAGTCAAAAACGCTTTACAGAATGTGCTGTGAAGCGCTTTGAGAGGTCTCAATGATGTGATAAGGTATTATATAAAATGCAAGGATTATTATTTTTATTGCTTAGCTCAGCCTTCATACCTCTGAAGTTTGAAGTTTACCCATCTAAAGTTTAGTTATGCTGTTTTCCAAGTCAAATTGAATATTATTGAGCTATGGTTCCTGTCACCTTATCAACTACTTCTACCTCATGAATTGTGTCATTGACTAGAATGAAGTCAAGGAGAGAACTGCCCTTTCTGACACAGCAATAATAATAATAATCCTTACATTTGATATAGTGCCTTATCATCTCTTTGAGACGTCTCAAAGCGCTTCACAGAATATACTGTAAAGTGAATCGACTGTATATTTTGTGGGTGAAACGTGGCAGTCAATTGCGCACAGCAGTGTCCCACAAACAGTCGTGGATTGAAGTGACCAAATTAATATTTTTTTGGAAAGCGATCCACCAATCAACTAACATCCAGGTTTCTACTTACTGCTAGGTAAACAAAGGCGCATGGAGTAAGGAAACTTGCCTATGGTTTTGCCCCGTAAATCTGGAAGCAGTAATACACTACATTAACAGGCTCAGAGACCTTCCCCACTTGGGCACATTCAGCCGACGGAAGTTCTCCCAGTACTAGCTTCTTCTTCTAACACACACTCCTAATATAATCTAATGTGCTGAGATGAGTCACTCTCCCTACTTTGGCCCTTGAGTTAAATGTAATCCACGTTGCCTTTTAACGTTTTGTTTATTTGAAAAAGTTCCTTGCTAATCCGCAAACTCAAATTCATCTTACACACAACATTCTCCTTACCAGTCAGTCACTGACCTTAAATATTTTGTTCTTTCTTTCCACACTCCAAGGTAACACAGGGAGCAAACTCACACACAATACAGGGAGCAAACCAGATACCGTCACCTTGGCACTTTTGTTTAAAAAATGCTCATATACTTTCTTTAACTCAGGCCACGATATCACGTGTCCCCACACAGAAAGCAACAATGGGATTTACTCCCTCCACTCTCATCTGTTCTTATGTTTATATCTCTTACCTCTGCCCTTGGGAAGCCTTATTCATGCTATTATCTTCACAAAACGTTGTATCCATGTAAAATACAACAAGGAGTTGCTTCAACACAATTGGGTTTCAGACCCCAACCTTTTATCACATGAAAATTGAAATCCCATCATCATAGCGCTCCAAATCCCACCATCGGCAGTCGGGCCTTCAGCCTCTCTGGCTCCATCCTCTGGAACTCTATCCCACAGTCCCTTCACCTCGCTCCCTCCCTTGCCTCCTTCAAGGCACATCTCAAGACCCTCCTCTTCGACCGTGCCTTCGGTCAGCCTCCTACACCCACCCTGCCCTCCACCCCTCCTGATCCCAATCCCCAGCTCGGGTCCGAATCCCTGACTGTCCAGCGCCTTGGACATCCAGCCAACGTGAAAGGCGCTATATACATGTAATTTGTTGTTGTTGTCACTGCTCTCCAGAGACCAAAGGAGCTGTACGCCCCAACAGCAGCATTCTATATATATGCCCAACGCTGTTACTGATCATGCAATTGCTGATATCATAACCTGAAAACATTTACCTGAAGCTGCTCGAGTGTGCTTCACATTAAGATGAGCTGGCATTTAATGGACCCGAACATGCGACCTTCAGGAAGGTAAAAAGTGAACTCAATTGACCTTGGTCTTTTTTTCATCTAGCATTTCTTATTTTCTTATGAACAGGGTCATCCTATCAATGGCTGCTCCGACACCTCCTGTGTACAATCTTCTCCCTGAGATATGCCCAGATGTTTTTCCATTGTTTGTTTCTCTTCTTACGATGGGTCTCATCATTTATTTCTTTTACCTCATCCTGGGTCTCAATACTTACCCCCAGCTTGATCCCCACAGATATGTACTGTGTACCTTAAAGGGCAGAATGCATCAATGTAGTAACAATAGCTCTCAAATAGCTGGTTTTGTGACTCCTGCAATGACCTTCCTTCCTTTCCATCAAATTAATCTGCATTTGCCCATAGGAGGAAAGGTAAAAAGACACAAACCATTGGATGATCTCAGTGATCTGGGCCTCCCAGTGGGCAACAGACTCTTTCTTATCTGCCAGGTCACGCAGGTCCTCTTCCATCTGTTTGTTGCTTGTACTCAGTTTCTCCACTGAGACTGTGAGCTGCAATCGACATAACAACAGAACCAAGAATCATTGGGCCATTTAGAGACATTTAACCATTGCTCAAGCCCAGGATTTGGCTTCAATCTACAACAATAAACCCCATTATTATACCAGAGTTTGATTTATACAAGATCACACAGACTGTACAGCATTACCAGTGATATAATAGTCAGAGATTATACTCCACTCCTCTCATAATCCCCTCTCCCTTACTTGCTTCCTTTCTCTCTCATGTATGGATTGATTCCTCTGAAATGCATTGATGCTTTCTGCTTCAAACATCAACTGCATGTTTTCACCACAACAAGAACAAAATTACATTTGTATAGCACTCCCTGGGAAAGAAGTTGCTCCTAAAGTCTATTTGAGATCTGCTTCTGGCTATCTTAGATTTATGCCCTCTTGTTATGGACTCACCAACACTGCACTGCCTATTTCGACCTTAGCCAACCCTTTCATAACAATAATAATCCTTGTATTTGATATAGCGCCTTATCACGTCTTCGAGACGTCTCAAAGCGCTTCACAGAATATACTGTAAAGTTAATTGACCGTATATTTTGTGGGCAAAACACGACAGCCAATTATGCACAGCAGTTTCCCACAAACTTTTGAGTGTTATGTTGAGTGATCAAGTTATTATTAGTTTTTTACATTATCTTTTGAAGGGGTTATTACCCCCGGAAAAGCGATCCGCCAATTGACTAATAACTGGGTAGCAACTTACTGCCAGGTAAACAGAGGCGTGTGGAGTAAGGAAACTTGCCCAACGTTTCGCCCTGCCAAGGAACCAAATCCAGGTCCTCTCACTTGCAAGGCAAGCGCTCTAATCACTAAGCTACAGGACTCTTCATCATTTTAAACATCTTTATGGAGTCCTGTAGCTCAGTGGTTAGAGCACTCGCTTTGCAAGCAAGAGACCTGAGTTCAATTCCAGGCAGAGGGCGAAACCTTGGGCAAGTTTCCTTACTCCACACAGAGCCTAATAATAATCCCTCCAAAAACCAAAAACAATAATAAAATTGGTCATTTTTCAATCTACGACTGTTTGTGGGACATTGCTGTGCGCAATTGGCTGCCGCGTTCGCCCACAAATATACAGTCAATTCACTTTACAGTGTGTTCTGTGAAGCGCTTTGGGACGTCCTCCCGACGTGAAAAGCGCTATATCAAATGCAAGGATTATTATTATTATTTATCAGGTTTTTTGGGACTTTCAAAAGTCCAAACTACACATAAAAAAATACTCTACTCTCTAGAGTCTTTGATAGTTGCATCCTCTCATCCCTGGTAACTGGTAAATAGTCACTGATTTCCTGGATTAGCTGTCTCCTTATTGGGTATTACATGAATCAAGAAGGCAGTGAGACATAACACATGACACCAGTGACACCAGTTGAGGATAAGTTCAATGGAAATATTGCAAATTTCGCAATACACCAAATAAGACATTTACAATACAAAATAATTTGTTTAGGACATTAGAAACATACAGATAATTGCCACCAATCCCAGCTCACACACAGTTAGCTAAATGTAGCATACTTGACATTTTGTTTCCCAAATCACCAAAATTCACTATTCATTTTGGATATGAAAAAGTACCATTATTAACAGATTCAAAACCCTTGTATTCTAGTTGATCGCTAAGATCAAAAAGCCCTGCACACTGTTAGAAGGATTCATGTTGACCCTCGCACTCTCCCCCCACCACCACTCCCATATCCAGATCAGGAGGCTTCCTGTTTTGGCTTTGGTTGCAGTTGACAATGAAGAACTTGTATTTATATAGTGCCCCTCATGCAGGATAGCATCCCAGAGCGCTTAAATTCCAAAAATTCCATGCCAACAGCTCAGAGGGCAAATCCTATTGTATCTCAGACTGCCAGTCTCACCTTATCAAGCTCATTTGATAATTTCTTGTTATCTTCAGTCAACATGATCCTCTCGCGCTCGTACTTCTGCTTGAATTCAGATTCAAATTCTTCCCTCTCGTTCAAACTGTTTTTATTAAAGAAAAAGAAAATGAACAATTACAAAGCAAGCAGAAAAAACTGAACCACATTGAAACATCTCAAAAGCACTTCACAAATAACTACTGACGTTTAGTGACAGTTTTTTTGTACACGGCAACATTTTGCATCCTCAGAGTCTTCCAAATAGCAGTGTAGTGAACAGCCAAATAATAATAAACCTTGCATTTGACATCCTTATCACATCGTCGAGACGCCTCAAAGCACTTCACAGAATATACTCTAAAGTGAATTGATTGCATAGTTTATGGGCAAAACACGGCAGCCAATTGTGCACAGTAGTGCCCCACAAACAGTCACGGATTGAGAGACAAAACTATTATTTTTTTCTGAAGGGATTATTACCCCCGGAAAAACGATCCACCAATTGACTAACAACCTGGTTTCTACTTACTGCTAGGTGAACAGAGTTGTGTGGAGTAAGGAAACTTGCCCAATGTTTCGCCCTGCCTGGGAGTCAAACCCAGGTCCTCTCGCTTGCGGCAAATGCTGTAACCACTACTCTACAGGACTCCCCGATAACAATAATAATAATCCTTGCATTTGATATAGCGCTTTTCACGTCGGGAGGACGTCCCAAAGCGCTTCACAGATCACATTGTAAAGTGAATTGAGTGTATATTTGTGGGCGAACGCAGCAGCCAATTACGCACAGCAATGTCCCACAAACAGTCATAGATTGAAAATGACCAATTTATTATTGTTTTTGGTTTTGGAGGGATTATTATTAGGCTCTGTGTGGAGTAAGGAAACTTGCCCAAGGTTTCGCCCTCTGCCTGGAATTGAACTCAGGTCTCTCGCTTGCAAAGCGAGTGCTCTAACAACTGAGCTACAGGACTCCAATCTGATGGACTGTTGGCCAGAGCAATAGGCTAAACTCTCTTCCCTTTTCAAATAGTGACATGAGACCTTTAATATCCGCCTGAACTGGCATGTGAAATATTGGTTTAACAACTCATCCAAAAGACATTCATTCCTCCAACACTGCAGTGCTCCACCAGCAGGGGCACAAGTGGAGAATAGGGCTGGAGGAGACTGAACAAGTGGAAGCCCATGATGGGAATTTCAAGGTCAAGTCAAGGATTTGAAAGTTGATCCATTGGGGTACTGGGAGAAGTAGAGGTTAAAGGTAATGGTGAGTGACCTGGAGGATACAGGCTGTGGATGTTTGTTTAGACACAAACTCAATCCTACTGATGAAAGAACTTGACAAATGAATGTTGAGTGAAACTGAGGGTTCTCCCTACATTTGTTGGTGTCAATGTCCGTTGGGCATTTCAAATAAACGATATAGTTAAGATTAAGATGTCAGGAATTATACATTTTCCAGATGCCGTAACGGGCTTGTTACATCAATACCCAAATCCAGGTTTAGAAAAGCACCCAATAATTCAGCAAATTGTTTCGAGTGCACGAATGAGTCTATATAGCAGAATCCCGAGGATGCCAATTAACCCATTAACAACAATAACTTGCATTTATATAGCACCCCTCACTCAGGGTAGGGTCCCAGAGCGCGTGACAGCGGCGGAGTACAACTCCGAGGCGGGGGAGGTGACCATAGACATGGTCGAAGAGGAGGGTTTTTTCAGGCGCGATTTGAAAATGGGGAAAGAAGGGGCAAGGCAGAAGGATAGAGGAAGAGTGTTCCAGAATTTTGGGGCGTAGTGGCTGAAAGCGCAGCCACCAATAGTGGAATGGAGGGCACGAGGGAGCCAGTCGAGTGGAGGCAGTGGGTTGTGGAGTAAGCAGGTCGGAGAGGTAGGGAGGTTCCAGGGCATGAAGGAAGTAATCAACCCATTATTAGTAGAATCAGTGTTTGTTCCTCTTCCATAAAACATCTCCCTCAACCTCATGGTGATTAGCCATTTTAGTGAGGTTCATTACACATTTACACCGTGTGTTTCATAGGAACCTTAAAAAAAATTGGTACCCCAGATCAGTCTGATATTCTCCATGACTTCCTTCATTTCTACCTCACATTAAAGAGATTCCATCTTTTCTTCAAAACTGAGAGAAGATTCTCAGTGTGATCCACTAGTCTCCAGACCTAACTTTGAACATCTGATTGTATTATCTTTGGTTGACTTCAACTTACAGATGGCAACAAAATACCTCCAAAAGCACAACAAGGTTGTGCTTAAGTGTATTGGAACCCAATTCATTTTTCCCTTAATTATCTCCTTTCAGGTATCCGATAAACACTCAATACAATGTAATATAAATTTACATTTATGTAGCTCCTTTCAAGTGGGAGGACGTCCCAACAGTACTGGCTGGGCAATCGAGCTGGGGATAGGAACCGAGCTGGGGGTGGGGAGGAAAAGATAATTGAAAGTCAAAGAGGTAGGTCTTGTAAGGGAGGAAGTCAGAGAGACTCCCTGATGAAGTTCTAGAGAATAGGGGGAGGCAGAAAGGCTGATAGCCCACCAACGCTGCTAGTGAGTGAGGTGCTTGCTGAGTGAGGAGAGCACTAGGGTCAGTAGGTTCCCTGATGTGAAAGGGCCTCGCTCACCTTTCCCTTCGTGTTTTCTCCAGCTTGTCTTTAAGCATCATGATTTCCTTCTTCAGAGCCAGTTGCTGGCCCTCTGAGTCACGCACTTCTTTCTTAAAGTTCTTGACCTCTGTAATATGAAGGGCCTCTCGTTTCGTCAGTTCTTCTTCGTAGAATACGCTTTTCTTCTCCAGGTCCTCCTTCAGCCTGGCTACCTCCTGCTGGTGCTCAGTGCTGCTCACCCCAGGAGAGCGACCAACTTGCTTTTTCTATAGAAAGATGGAAGTGGGCGGGGTGGGGGGGGGCGGGAAGGAGGAGAAAAAAGGGTGTAACATTCATTGCACAATCAACAACAACAACAAATTACATTTACACAGCGCATTTCACGTCGGGAGGATGTCCCAAGGCGTTGGACAGTCAGTGATTTAGAACTGAGCAGGGGGTTGGGATCAAGAGGGGTGGAGAGCAGGGAGGAGAGGGGTTGGAGGGTGGCCGAAGGCGTGGTCGAAGAGGAGGGTCTTCAGACGAACTTTGAAGGAGGCAAAGAAGGGAGCGAGGCGAAGGGACTGTGGGATGGAGTTCCAAAGGGTCAATGACATGGTTCAAAGTCAAAAATGAGCCATTGAGGAACTTGCATGGAGATCTTGGACCATTTAATTCACAAATTCTACTACTTTCAGAGGGACCCCACATCAAGATCTCTGGTGACTACAGTATTAACAATAATAAAAGCAATCACGTAATATATTGTCCTGGTCCTATTATACCATATTTTGCTTCCTTTTCGCCATGAAGGAACAACATCTGACCTCCACTCGATTTTTCTGCCTCACCCCATGCCCCCACCACCCTGATCAGGATCAGCAAGATGCTATGATTCCGCCCACTTCTTCAGCACCTGCTCACCTTGAGCCCCTCGAGTTCCTCCTCCAGCTGTTTGGAGTACTGCTCACTGCGCTCATGCAACTTCCGCTCCTTGGAGGCCTCTGCGGCTGCTTCCTCCATCAGCACGTCCAACTAGTGGAGTGAGAACACAGGCATTAATACACCATTGATCTCACAATGAAGCCCTTCTCATTAACCCAGTCCTTACAGCATAGAATAATAATAACAATCCTTGTATTCAATATAGCAGGTTATCATATTGAGCAAACTTCTCAAAGGACTTTGTGTCATTTACTTTCACTTACTGTAAAATGTAGTGACTGTGCAAACAAGCCAGCCATGTTGCACAGCCATGGAGTGAATGAGCAAATTTTATCTGGACTGTTGGCAGGAAAAACTCCGGTTCCCTTCTGACTAACGTCATGGCATGTTTAACATTCACCTGAACGGGTAGACAGGAACTCAGTTTAACGACTTATCTGAAGGTTGTACCTCTGACAATGCAGCACTCCCCCAGCACTACATAATCAGTCTGGATTACGAGCTCTCGGTCCCAACTTGGGACTTGAATGTACAGCCTTCTGACTCAAGAGATGAGTGTACTACCAACTGAACCAGGCTGACGATATGTTTCTTGACGGAAAGTTATTTGGTCCTTCCAGTTTGCACTGATATTTTTCTTACTTGAGCCATCTAATCCATCCCCTTCTGCTCTCTAGGTACGCTTTCATTTTTTTTCAACCAAACATCTAATTCCCTTTGAAAATCATTTATAGGCTCTGTCCAAAAACTGCTTGCGGAAGAGAATTCCACATTCCTCTGTATAAAGATTTTTTCTTATCTGCTTTTTAATTCCTTTTGGATTAATTTGAATGATGCGCTCCTCTTACTGATTTATGATAATAATCCTTGCATTTGGTATAGCGCCTTATAGCACAGGGCGAAACCTTGGGCAAGTTTCCTTACTCCACACGCCTAATAATAATCCCTCCAAAATAAAACAATAATAAATTGGTCATTTTCAATCCATGGTTGGTTGTGGGACACTGCTGTGCGCAATTGGCTGCCATGTTTCGCCCACAAATATACGGTCAATCCACTTTCAGTCTATTCTGTGAAGCGCTTTGAGACGTGGAGAAGACGTGAAAAGCGCTATATCAAATGCAAGGATTATTATATTATTATTATATCACGTCTTCATGACGTCTCCAAGCGCTTCACAGAATATACTAGTGGAAATAACCTATTACTCTTTACCCTATGAAAGCCTTGGTTAATTGAGCACTTAAATGTCTCAACTCAAGTGAAGAAAGTTGTGACTTCACAGTCTCTCAAGTAGTGAAAACTTTGAAAATATCTGAAGAGCCTCAATCTCCATTTCACTCTGGTCCAGGATTCGCTCACGTATACAACATCAATAAAAGCTTTCAGCTTCAGCCCGTTCTATGCATACCTTTCAAGAAAGAAAGCTAACTATTTATTATTTTAAAAATCTTTGAATCTTGTTTAAAAAAAATTGAAATGCTCAAATTAAATTTGAAAGGGTAAGAACTTTGCATTGTCAAAGGAGTTTTATAAATCCTGCTTGAAAGGTTTAATGGAGATGGCCAACCTGTGGCCCACAGGTCAGAGGTGGCCCCCGAACATTTGAACTAGTTTAGGTAACTCTGTTCAATTGGTAGTGTGTTATCATTACATTTTTCTGAATAATAATAATCCTTGCATTTGATATAGCATCTTATCACATCCAAGCTCTTCACAGAATATACTGTAAAGTCAATTGACTGTTCAAAACTTGGCAGCCAATTGCATACAGCAGTGTCCCACAAACAGTTGTGGATTGAGTGACCGAATTATTATTATTTTATTTATTTTTTGAAGGGATTATTACCCTCGGAAGAGCAATCTGCCAATCAACTAACAACTGGGTTCCTACTTACTGCTAGGTGAACAGAGGAGTATGGAGTAAGGAAACTTGCCCGATGTTTCGCCCTGCCGGGAATCAAACCCAGTTCCTCTCGCTTGTGAGGCGAATGGTCTAACCACTAAGCTACAGGACTCCATTCTTGAATGAATATTTCTTGATTTATGGAATCAATCAAGAAATATTCAATCAAAAAAACTTATGTGGTTGGCCGCTCAGTGCAGAACTGGGGGAGCAACTCACTTTTGGAGGTGCTGTCCTTCGGGTGAGACGTTGAACAACATTGGAAAACAATGTTTCAACAACATTGGAAAAGAGACAGGTGTTTCTCCAGGTGTTCTGGTCACCAAATTAATCGGCCATGGTTACTTGTTGGACTTTGCTGTGCACAAAATAGTTGTTGCATTTTTCTGCACCTCACTACACTGGACAACAATTAATTGTGAAATGCTTTCAGACCTTTCGGTATGAGAAAGCACAATAAAATTGTGACAAACCAACCCTAAAGCACTTTTGATACTTCAGTTTCAGACCCTGGCCAGTTTTGGGCCCACACAAAGCGTGTACGTCATCACACAATAATTAGCACCACAGCAAATGTAATTTCCAGAATGATGGCCTTATCTCACTTTTGTTTCATTTGGCACTGTACATCTGTCAGTGGGATGCTGAGGCTTGAAGCCCGCTGGCATTCACTGTGTTGCACCATTTGCAGCCAAGTTAGATAGAATTTTACAAGGTCGGAGGGAAAAATTGGTTTTGCATGTGAAGCAAAAGATGTAATTTAAGAAAAAAGCCATTTTTTTGTTTTTGCATGAGTAGGTTCGCAGCGGGTCAGTGCAAATGGATCTGCACAGTATGTGGCTGTTTACATTACATGCCTGGCCTCAGGATCATTGGGTTAATGTAATGCTGTTTGAACAGCGTCCCAAATGGAGCTTCATTGAAAACTTTCAATAAGTGAAAACATTACCACTCGATTCCAGTGGCCTTATATCACTGGGGGCAACAACAAATGTACGAGACATCAATTTCTTCAAACCAGAATTACTTTCTATTTGGGTTTAAACCAATTATGGAGTATAAGGCTACAGGCAGGATGTTAAACATTTTGCCTCCAAAGTTGAAGATAGTCTTGTATCTCATGAGTGCCTTACCACAGGCACAAAGTGGAGCATGACTCACTTATTGTTTCTTATTCTGAACTTCCAGATAGACAGATCATTCATCTTCAACACAGTTTATGGGACCTTGCCATGCACAAATTGTCTGCTATTTACCTACAAGCATCTTAGGAGGTCCTCCTGACGTGAAAGGTTATACAAGTGTAATTTTGTATTGTACAAAGTCACTACAATTGTTAGTAAGTATAGAAATTAGCTTTAAATCAATGTGATAAGACACAATAAGTTTTACTCTTTCTTTACATATCAGTAACATGCATGGTAGTTCTTACTCATGATTTTAGCTCTATTATTCATAGAGGAATAACAACAAATGACAGTTATATAGCGCCTTTCACGTTGGAAGGACATCTCAAGGCGCTGGAACAACAGATTTCTTGTGATCTATGTCAGAGAGATGCACCTGGGGTGGTGATTACGTGAAGGTGCCATCAGTCTGATTCGATTCTTTTGTGATAAATTATTAAGCATTGCACAGATCTGATATTTTTATATAATTTGATATAACCCCAGGATACTTCATGGTATAACAGCAGGATAGAATCATCAAACCTAGAACTCACAATACATTTTTTTTTAATCTTTATTTTTTTATCCAACTGATTTTGCTTTGAGCAGTATTTCTGGCAAAATATCATCTAAAGCTGAACCTTTCCTTAGACGTTGAATTGTCGAGTGGTTTTGGAATCTGGCTGGAGAGAGACTACAGTAACCGAACAGAAATTGTTCTATGTTTATATGGAAAAGTAGCTTGACATGGCATTGCTGGACTGTGGTAGAATGTGAAATACATTTTGCTAATTAGAATATTAAGCCCAACAGAATGCCAACCAGCAAGTCTTGGAAGAAAACGAGAGTTCACCCTAATCTTTTCAAAACATTTAAAATACATCCAGTGGGTCCCGACACTGAATCTCTCTTTTCAACAAGATGTAAGCTGAATCATCCCAGTCAGTGGTAAAGTAGATTAATGTAAATAATAATAATAAAATTGATGTAGTATCTTATCACGTCTTCTAGATGTCTCAAAGCGCTTCACAGAATATACTGTAAAGTGTATATTTTATGGGCGAAACGCGGCAGCCAATTGCGCACAGCAGTGTCCCACAAACAGTCGTGGATTTAGCGACTAAATTATTATTTTTTTTAAGGGATTATTACCACGGAAAAGCAATCTGCCAATCAACTAATAACCGGGTTCCTACTTGCTGCTAGATAAACAGGGGTAAATGAAAGCACAAGCAGCATAAAACTGTTCATCTGCAAATGATAAGTGCCACAGAACCACAAGCAAAGGCAAAAACGGAACCACTCACTCACCCACCCACCCACCTACCTACCTAAAGCACAAGACTAAACCTACCTCCTTTTTGGCCCTTTCCACTTTTCGTAGATCTTGACGTAAAGTCTCCCCTTTTTGTGTCACTGCTTCTATCTCCTCCTCCTTGTCGCGGAGCTGCCGGGCAAACTTCTGCTTCTGAGAGCGCAGGTCCGTGACCCGCTCATTCATCTCCGAGAATTCCTGCATGGCCAGCTTGCGTTGGCTATGAGCATCTTTCAGTTCTTTGGTTTGAGATTTCAGCCTTTCATTCAGTTCCACCACTTCCTAGATTGGAACACAACATGAATGCAAGCTACTTTAGGCTGTTACTTTTAGGGTGAGGGGGGAGGGGGAAGGGGGGAGAAGGGGAGAGGTGAGGTGGGGAAGAGAGAGGAAGAGAAATGATGGTTGACGAGCCTAGCTAGTGTGGAGCTATTGTCATGCCCTCAACCTGAGAACCAAAGCATTAATGCATAGGATAGTCTGAGACACCCCTTATATATTCTCTGAATGGGCAATTACCTTGTGTAGATCATTCTTTTCCTGCTTAAGTGCCTTCATCTGCTTCTCAAACGCTTTCATTTGCCTGGTTGCCTCTTCCAGATCTCGCCTCATGACACTTGCGTCTTCCAGCCGCTGCTCGAGCTGTCCAGAGTCTGGAGGGAGCAGAACAGTTAGCACAACACCTTATGTTCCCAACAAGCCTTTGCACTTACTATGTTTAAACAAATAAACTGTGGAGTCCTGCAGCTTAGTGATCAGAGTGCTCGTCTCGCAAGCGAGAGGACCCGGGTTTGATTTCTGGGCAGGGCAAAACATTGGGTAAGTTTCCTTACTCCACATCCTCTGTTTACCTAACAGTAAGTAGGAACCCTGTTGTTAGCCAATTGGAGGATCACTTTTCCAGGGGTAATAAACCCTTAAAAAAATAATAATAATATTAATTTGGTCACTGAATCCACGAGTGTTTGTGGGACAATGCTGTGCGTAATTAAATGCCACATTTCGCCCACAAAATATACAGCCAATTCACTTTACAGTATATTCTGCGAAGCGCTTTGAGACATTTCGAAAACGTGATAAGGCACTATATCAAATACAAGGATTATTATTATATTATTTATAAATATAAAGTAGTTCATCACCAAAGGTAATTAAAGTTTTGAAAAATAAAATGTATGAAAGATAAAATCCAGCACGTTGTGTCTCTCTGCTTTCCTCCTTCCAGACTGCGACAACTCAATTGTCCACAGTTTTGAAATATGACATTATAATGTTACGACTCTCGTGAAGCTGACTGCTATAGGAGGTGCAAAAGTGCACATTGTTAATCTGTTGAAGATGAGTGGGTAAAAGATGTAGAGCAGAGAAAGCTTTACTAGATAGGGCAGAATGGAGAATGCACAGATGCCCAGAATATTGGCCGAAGTTAAAGCCCTAAATTAAAGGAGCAATTGAGGCATAAAAAGTCTATAAAGCTAACAACTGAAAACTAAAAACACATTAGTAATCATTTTCATTTGATATAATGCCTTTCAAATCGTGAGCTTGACTCAAAGTGCTTCACAGGATTTTTGTTTGTTTTCTGGTCGCCGGGTGTCCGACACACGTGGAAACCCATCACCATGTTTAAGATCAGGGTGGTTCAACCTTTTGGCTGTCACGGGCCGGATTCCCTATTTGAGAAAGGTCCGCGGGCTGAATGAGCAATGTTTTGTGTTTTCCTACCAGCAACATAACAACGTTTACCAGTGAGTTTGACGTCCATTGTGGGTAAAGTTATGAGACGCTTTATTAAATATAAGATCATGGAGCATCTGAACAGTAATAACAGAATAAAAGATATAGGTTTATGAAGGGGAGATCATCTGTCCTGACAGTGATCCACAAAACACTGCCCCCTCTTCTCCTCTCTCTCTCTCTGCTCTCATTCTTTTTGTTTCTCTCCCTCACTCACACCCTCTTCCTCTCTCTACCCTCTTTCTCTCACCCACTCTCTCTCACATGCTCTCATTCCTCCTCTCTCTCTCTTCCCTCTCTTACTCTCTCTTCCCTCTTTCCCACATCTCTCTTCCCTCTTTCCCACTCTCTCTTCCCTCTTTCCCACACTCTCTCTTCCCTCTTTCCCACACTCTCTCTTCCCTCTTTCCCACTGTTTCTCTTCCCTATTTCCTACACTCTCTCCCTCTTTCCCACACTCCCTCCCTCTTTCCCACAGTCTCTCCCTCTTTCCCACACTCTCTCCCTCTTTCCCACACTCTCTCCCTCTTTCCCACACTCTCTCCCTCTTTCCTACTTGGTCTCCCACACTCTGAGTATCTCCCCCTTTTCGCACTCTCTCTCTGTTCCCTCCTGCTCTCAGTCACTATCTCTCTCTCCCCCTCTCTGGCAATCATTCTCTACCCCCACCCAGCCCCTCTCTCACACAGTCTCTCACTCCCCAGTTCTCATGCTTCTCTCCCACACACACTCTCTCCTCCCCTTCTCTTAATTAATCACTCCCTTTCCCCCCCACCCTCTTCCCCACCTCTCAATCCTTCTCTCTCCCAATCAACCACACAGGTCACTATTGCAGGCGGTTGCTAAGGACGCGGTGGAAAAGGAGACCCACTTGCCTTCCTGACAGACTGCAATAACGGCTGATATTATTTCCACTCTCCACGCTATGTCTTCTCAACCGCTGGTTCCTGCCGCTGCCCTGGGAGGACGTTCACCAGGGAGGGAGGGAGCGGATGTTGGAAATGGTCTCGGGAGCGGATAAAATCATCCACCGGGCTGGATGCGGCCCAGTTGGACCATGCTGCTTAATAGGCTCCAAAGCTGAGAATTCCATGCATTCCATCTACACATGGAAGATAGATTGTTGGAATGCAATGCTCACTCTCTCCCTGGAGAGACACATCCTGTTTACCTAATTCCGGAAAGTATTAGGCGCAGGAAGGCAAGATTCAAGGCTTGGGGAACCCAGAGTGTGCATTGGGGTAACTGTTGGGAGTCTAACCAGCTAAAACCACAAAGCTTACCATTGATATTGCTGTCTGGCAAACTTTCTTCTACTGCTTATCCAGCGAGGACCACCCTACCCGTTAGGGCTTTGGCTTGCTGGGTTAACAGGAGCTGAGTGGGATGAGTCCCTGACCCCAGTGACAGGATTTTACCATAACATGTGATAACTATTTGTAGGTAAACGCGGGAGCCAATTTGCACACAGCAATGTTCCACAAAAGACGTGAAGTGAACAGCCAATTTTATCTGGGGGATTGTTGAGTGGGACACTGGGAGAACTCTCTTCTCTTTTTGAACAGTGTCACCTGAACAGGCAGATGGGATTCCAGTTTAACCAGACATTAAAAGCAGCATCTCTAACAATACAGCACACTCCCAGCACTGCATTGGAGTGTCAGCCTAGACTTTGTGAGTCTGAAGTCCCAACATGTGGTTTGAACCCACAACCTTCTGACTCAGAAGCAAGAGTACTACCAACTGAGCGATGAGGTTTGGATCCCAGATTTCCAGTAAGTGAAAATTGGAGCAAAGACTTGTGCAGAAAGATGTATTCACAGTAAAGCCCTTAAATATTGACAAATGTGGCACAGAAAAGTTTGAAGAAATTTATTCTGCTAAGACTAAAGATAATTTGTACTTGAGAAGCACAATTTTGTACAAACATTCCCTGAGTTTAGTTCAATCTTTGCAATGAGTTGACATGATCCTTTGTGTACTTGGCAATGAACAAATTTTATAACTTGCAGCCCAAAATATAACCCTGATTCCTAATCCCCTCCCAAATTAGAAGCACATGCAGTTGTCATCTGCTTGCTGAGTGAATACAAGCGATATTGTGATTATCAAATTCCCCATAGGAGTTTAGAATGAAGAACCCGGTGAGCAGAACCTTTTCATATAAAGCAACAAGAATCAACCATACACAGCGAGCAGTGGACAGTAAAGGGATACTGTAAGAAAGAAGAGGTTCACAGCTAGATTTAAGGGAACCCTTTGTTGACCTGCAAAAGTTATACTGTTGACCTGTACCACTTGCATTAGTTTGAAGTGTTTTGAGATGTCTCGGTTTGATAATTAACTGTAAAAATGCAAGATCTCTTTTACGTTATATTTACATTGCTTGCTGCCGGTCATAACATGTGCTATGGGATCAGTCAGTAAAAAGTAGCCAGTTACAATACATGTTCAATTGAAATTCACACATTATATTATATTCAACAACAACAACTTGCATTAAAACCCCCCCCCCCTCACGCGGGGTAGCGTCCCGGAGCACTATTCAGCAGTGTGGAAAACACTGCAATGGAGCAGAAGTTCCTTACATGTAAAAAAGTAAGAATGTCCATCAAATATTCTACTCGGCTGATTTCACTCTTCTGTTGATACTCACCCGGGTGTCAGCCTGGTTCCGCTGGTAGGTAGCACTAACAGGCACTAATAAAACTAATAATCCTTGCATTTGATATACCCTTTATCATGTCTTCGAGACTTCTCAAAGCGCTTCACAGAATATACTATTAAAGTGAATTGATTGTGTATTTTGCGGGCAAAATAGAGCAGCTAATTGCACACAGCAGTGTCCCACAAACGGTTGTGGATTGAGAGACTAATTTTTTTTAAGGGATTATTAACTCTGAAAAAGCGATCCGCCAATCGACTAACTTACTTACTTACTGCTAGGTAAACAGAGGCGTGTGGAGTAAGGAAACTAGCCCAATGTTTCATCCTGCCCCGGGAATTGAACCCAGGTCCTCTCACTTGCGAGGCGAGTGCTCTAATCACTAAGCTACGGCACTCTCACCTGATTCACAAGCTTGTGGGTTCAAGCCTCACACCAGGATTTTAAACCCACAGTCTCTGCTCATGCTCCAGGGCAGTCCTGGGGCTGGGCTGCATTGTGAGAGGTGTTCTCTTTCGGATGAAACATTAAAACGAGGTCCTGTCTGCATTTTCAAGTGCCCGTTAAAGATTCCATGACACTATTCAAAAAGAAAAGGGAGTTCCTCCCAATGTCCTGGCTAACCAATATCTCAGATGAAAATCATAGCTGTTTATGGGACATTCCTGTGTGCAAACTGGCTGCCACATTTGTCTTCAAAATACAGTCACTAGACTTTACAGTAAATCCTGTAAAACTCTGACACACTGACGATGCGATAGGCATTATATCAAATGCAAAATTATTATTTTACTGTGTTATATTGTGGGAAATGGTGGGGGGAGAAGATAAAGAAGGAAAGAGAGAAGATAGCGAGAGAGGGGAGGGGGGGGAAGAGACAGATGCACTATAGCGGCTTTCATAAAATGCTGTCCCAGTGGTTTTTGAGCCTCGAGTTAAAAATCCGGGAGGACAAGAGTCAATAATGATACTGAAAATATTGCACATCTTCCTTTTGTGGAACAGCTCTGTTCAGGTTGTCATACACAGGAATAGGTTTGAAGCATAAATGTTCAACGTATCAGATATGAGAAAAGATTTAAAGGGCAGGAAGTCAGCTTGCTGGACAAAGAGAAATATTTACGATAGGGGGGGTTAAAGGGAGGAAGCATTCAGATGTAAGATAGTGAATTTCAAGATCATCTCGTTTTCAAATCATTTTATTCCCTCGCACCTATGCTTTCTCCCCACTCCATCTCCGCTTGGCTGGCTCCGGCATCCTGTTTGTCCTTCTTCCCCTCTGTTCCACCATCGGTGGCCGTATCTTCTGCCACTACGCCCAGAAACTCTGGAACTCTCTCACTCAATCCCTCCAGTTTGCCCCCTCCCTTCCCACTTTCAAATCCCACCTAAAGACATTCCTTTTTGATTATGCTTTGGTCACCTCACCCCCTGGCTCGGGGTCAGACTCAGCTACTGTCAAGCGCTCCAGGATGCTACCCTGTGTGAAGAGCGCTATACAAATGCACGTTGTTGTTGTATAATCCAAACAATGTTTCTTGTACCCTGTGAAATGCCTTAACCTTAAATCTCAAGAAAACCTTTACTTCCATTTTCCACACCTAGCCTTTTCCAAGTAAGAATCCCAAATGTATATTGTTTTGTGCTTAAGATAGAGCATGTCCCAAACATATGGTGGGAACCTGAACAATTTTAAAGACAAGACTGTCCTATGAGGGTTCACTGTGTTTCCAACTACAATTTCCTAATCCAGATCAGAAACGGGATTCAAAGGATCTAATAAAATATAACAATAATAATCCTTGCATTTGATATACTGCATTATCATATTTTCTAGCCATCTCAAAGTGCTTCACAGTCTCAATGGTGTAAAGTGAATTGACTGTATATTTTGTGGGTGAAGCTATGTGCTTCTGTTCCTTCTTTTGTTCCTAACGCAATAGCTCTGAAACATGAATCAACTTGATAACTAAAGAGGCAACAAGGTGCACCAGTCTCAGACCTCACATTTCTTTGTGTTTTTTTCAAAAGTAATCATGGAATTGAACCAACCATGAGGATCAAAGGACCAAAGCTCCTCCCTCTACCAAAGAACAGCAGAAGACGACAGGACATGTTGGCTCCATTCCAATAATCTGCTACAATTTGCTTTTCTCTTTCACTCAGTGATGATATTCACTGAACTGTTAAACTGTTCTCCCTCCACTTCTGTTCAAAGCTTTGAGAAAAGGAAACCAAAACACCCTTTATCCTTGCATCATTTTTTTTGCTCAGCTGGGCATCTGACACATGCAGAAACCCATCACCATGCTTAGGAGTATCCAAACTGAGATTTCCATGCATCCCATGTACACATGGAAATCCCAGAGATAGATTGTTCAAACGGAATGCGCACTCTCTCTCTCCTACTTAGCTAATTCTGGAAAGTATTAGGCATAGGTTGGCAAAAGCCAAGGCTTGGGAGAGCCCAGAGTATGTGTTGGGGTGACTGCTAAAGTCTAACCAGCTAAAACCGCATAGTTTATCATTGATTTTTGCACCTCAGCTTACCTGACAGAAGTTCAATGTAACATCCTGCAGCTACCTTTGGCACCCAGCCATAGTCTCTGTAGCCACAAGAGTCAGACCTTGCAGGCACCAGAATTAACATTATTGTGGTTGTTTGTTTTACTGAAGTGATAAGGTTTTCTCCATTATCCCAACAGTGTATGAACACCATTCATAACAATTGTGGAGTCTTCTAGCTTAGTGGTTAGAGCACTCGCCTTGCAATTGAGCGGTCCTGGGTTCGATTCCCAGGCAGGAAGAAATGTTGGGCAAGTTTCCTTACTCCACACACCTCTGTTTACCTAGCAATAAGTTGGAACCCAACCAGGTTAGTTGATTGGTCGATCACTATTCGGCGGTAAAAATCCATTAAATTTTTTAAAATAATAATAAATTAGTGCCTGAATCCACGACTGTTTGTGGGACACTGCTGTTTGCAATTAGTTGCCGCATTTCACCCCCAAAATATACAGTCAATTCACTTTACAATATATTTTGTGAAGTGCTTTGAGGCATCCCGAAGACGTGATAAGGCGCTATATAAAATGCAAGGATTATTATTATGTTCACCAAAGAAAACAAATGGAGTACACATGGGAGTGATGGAGTAACCCTGATAGTAAGAGTGAACAATTCTGAATGCAGTAGTAATTCAGTACTAGACTGATCAATTGGGGAATCATATACAGAAAACAGTGACAAATCCATCAAACTGTGGTGCACAAAACATCAGCAGGAACATAGAGCAAGGTGATGACACTCAATGAGTTCAAATGGATCTTTCAACAAAGTGCAGAACTGCAGCATATTACATACATTATCTTTAGGGTAAGATCATTGGGGGAGTGATCTGATATTTAAATCTGATATTTAAAAACAAGCACATCTTACCTGCTATTTGCTGCTTCAGTCTTTCTATTTCTTCTTTTAAGCTTTTAATTTCTAATTCTTTGCAGGCAGTGACTGGACCATCGACTGTTGAGTGTTGAAGAGCCTGAACAGTCTGTGTGGACTCTGTAAAATCAAGCATCAAACTTGTAAACTATTCACGGCCTTGCTCCCTCCTACCTCTCCAACCTACTATCCCCCTACCTACCTGCCCGTACCCTCCGTTCCTCTGGCTCTGGTCTGCTCCACGTCCCCCGCCCCAACCGCCCTACCATCGGTGGTCGGGCCTTCAGCCTCTCAGCCCCCAGGCTCTGGAACTCCATCCCCCAGTGCCTTCGCCTTGCTTCCTCCCTTTCCTCCTTCAAGGCCGGTCTCAAAACCTTTCTCTTTGACCGTGCCTTCAGCTCCCCTCTCGACTCTCTTCCCCTCCTCGCTCCCTCCCTTCCCTCCCCTCACCCTGACCATTTCCCCCCTCCTCGCTCCCTCCCTTCCCTCACCCTGACCATTTCCCCCTCCTCGCTCCCTCCCTTCCCTCACCCTGACCATTTCCCCCCTGCTCGGGTCATGACCCAACTGTGCAGCGCCTTGGGACGTCCTCCTGACTTGAAAGGCGCTTTATAAATGGAATCTTGTTGTTGTTGTTGTTGTAAGGATTCAGCATCTTACATTGTGGACAATTCAGAAATAGGATGCCAGATCACTTCAGAATCATAGAATCTTACAGCACAGAAGGAGGCAATTCTGCCTATCGTGCCTGTGCCTCTCTTTGAAAGAGATACCAATTAGTCCCACTCTCCCATTCTTACCCATTGCTCTGCAAATTTTGCCTTTTTAAGTACCTATCCAATTCCCTTTTGAAAGCTATTATGGAATCTGCTTCCATCATCCTTTCATTCCAGACCATAACAACTCTGTGGGTAAAAAAAATGTCTCCTTGTCACCCCTCTGGTTCTTTTGTTCATTATCTTAAATCTGTGTCCTCTGGTTACCGACCCACCTGCCAGAAAAAACAGTTTCTCCCTATCTGCTGTATCAGAAGCCCTCAAAATTTTGAACAACTCTATTAAATCTCCCCTCAATCTTCTCTGCTCTAAGGAGAATAATCTCAGCCTCTCTAGTCTCTCCACATAATTCTAGTCACTTCTGGTATCATTCTTGCAGCATTACAGGGGTAAAAGTTTTGGTATTCAATAATTCAACATTGGCATTAATTATTTATCACCTCAATTTATAGTGTTAAGTGTGAAATGAGCATTGCAAGACACACATAGTTGTAATGTATTCAATGTCCACTATGTGGCAGTTTTCCCCCCAAATTGACAAGAGGATGGAAAAGACGCAAACACTTACCTTGAAGTTTCCTACTTAGTTCAAGTTTTTCCTGTTCTAGACGTCGTATTCTCCTCTCGTACGCTTCCGTAGCTAAGCTATCCTCTAAGGTTCTCCGAACGTCTATATCAATGTCAGTTGATGAGGACCCAGCAGCATCTCTCAGGCTGCTTCCATCAGAGAGCGTACTGAGAGAAAAACCAATACAGCCATGAAAACATCTAAACAATCCGCAACCTGTAAAGAATTACTGGAGATAACTGAGAGAGAGGGTCAGAGCTGCTTTGACTGAAGGTGATCCCTTCGAGAGACTGTATCTGAGTTTACATCTCTTTGCCCATGCTTTCAAACAACAACAGGGAGACATGGAGCAGGCCGGAGCCCACTGAACGGAGGGAGCGGGCAGGTTGGTAGGGAGTCAGCAGGTCAGAGAGGTAGGAGGGGGCAAGGCCATGGTGAGACTGTAGTAGGTTTGGAGGCAGTGGGGAGAGGGATACAGGAGTTGAGGGAGATGAAATGGTGGTCAGAGATGGCCTTGTCAGTGATGGTGACATCCGAGACGCTGAGGCCCCGGGTAATCACCAGGTGAGCGGGTGGCTGGGGACATGGGTAACAGAGTGGATGTGGAGGGAGAGGCTGAAAGAGGAGAAGTCTGAGGAGGTGGAGCAAGAGGGGATGAAGGGCGGTAGTGGGGAATGGGGCAGTCGGTATGGCTGCTGCTGGACAGCCAACACACTGAGTACCACAATGAGCCTGGCAGAGGGTTCCCAGGCTGGAGCAGAGGGAGGCAGTGGGGGGGAGTCAAGCGGAGATAGGAGGCAGAGAGCGCGGAGAGAGAGCAGGGAGGGGGACATTTTGAGGGAGGGCCAGCTCGGGTCGGGGGCATCAACCAAGATGCGCACCGTGAGACAAGAGGTGGCGGGTTGTTATTATTATATGGCCTTTCTCTCTCTCACAACATTTTTGTCTCCTATAATTCAGGAAAGGAAGGGGCAAGGCGGAGGAATAGAGGAAGAGTGTTCCAGAGTTTTGGTGCACAGTGGCTGAAAGCACGGCCACCAGTGGTGGCTTAAACTTCCTTAAAAATGCATCTCTTTGACTATGCCTCTTCAACACCCTCAAACTCCTCCTCCCTCCTCTGTGATCTTCCATCACCTCTGTGAATCACTTCAATTGATCATCTTCCACGAAAGGGCCTATATAAGTGCAAGTTCTTATGGTGAAAACACCATGCAATGGTTTATTTGTAGATCCCTAAATCCTTAAGTACATTTTTGAAAATCAGTCGGATTAACAAATGGTTCCTAAATTGCAGGTCAGATCCACTGCTTTGAATCCTGGGTTACTCCAACAGTTGCAAAGTAGACTTGTGCCTGGAAAGTTTTGAATCCCAGAGAGTCCACTTGATCTTTCACCCATTCAAAAGCAATAAAATAAAATCACATCTAACTGTCAGGGACACGTGGAGAGGGGCGTCCTTGGAGATAAACTGACTGAGGAGACGCATCATATAATTCTTAATTCTTGCATTTGATTATCATGTCTTTAAGATGTTTCAAAGCATTTCACAGAATATACTGAAAGTGAATTGACTGTGTATTTTGTGGGCAAAACATGGCAGCCAATTGCGCACAGCAGTGTCCCACAAACAGTCGTAGAATGAGTGACCAAATTATTATTCTTTTAAATTTATTTTTGTTTTGAAAGTATTATTATCCCCAGAAAAGCGATCCGCCAATTGACTAACACCCGAGTTCCTACTTACTGCTAGGTAAACACAGGCGTGTTGGAGGTTATGTTGTGTTTATTAAGGCGAGGGAACATCAAAGCTAAAGAACAGGACATGTATTGAGAAGTCCCTCATCCTCTCCTTCAAAGTCCTACACGGTCTTGCTCCTTTCTACTTCTGTGACCTGCTAATGCCATATCAACCTGTCCGCTCCCTCTGCTCAGCAGGTTCCCCACTGCTCCACATCCCCCACCCGGCATTGCCAACTACATAGTAATGCTCCACCTACAGACTCTTCACTTCTCACCACTGAATGATCCAGACCATCGGACAGTATATAGGCTGCAATTAATTCTCCCATCACTGAAGTAACCTGCGGCACTTACCAGTTAGTGGTGAATGTGAACCCTATGAAGGGAAGGTGGTGGCCAGAAAAGGCAGTGTGAGAAGGAGGTGGCATTGTTTCCTGTGAGAAAACAGAAGGCAAAGTTAAGAGACTTTTTCATCTCATTAAGAATAATAATAATCCTTGCATTTGATATAGCGCTTTTCACGTCGGGAGGACGTCCCAAAGCGCTTCACAGAATATACTGTAAAGTGAATTGACTGTATATTTGTGGGCGAACGCGGCAGCCAATTGCGCACAGCAATGTCCCACAAACAGCCATGGATTAAAAATTACCAATTTATTATTGTTTTGTTTTTTTGGAGGGATTATTATCAGGGTGTGGAGTAAGGAAACTTGCCCAAGGTTTCTCCCTGCCTGGAATTGAACTCAGGTCTCTCGCTTGCAAAGCGAGTGCTCTAACCACTGAGCTACAGGACTCATTGTTTTACTCTGTCATGAGATGAGAAACTTAACAATTGAAACCACACAGAAGACTGACTTGAACTATTTGTACTGTTTAATAAAACTAGTTTTACTTGGAAAAAATGTATTGAAAGAGCATTGTAGTTACTTCACCAGAATGTAATGTTGAGGAAAGAATGACAGATGGGATTTTTCATGGCATTTGCTGTTATCTCTCTTACACAAGCACAAGTTTCACTTATACGGCAGTGTTCACGTATGATGAATCTCGAAATGTTTCACAATGACAATGGGTATCACCAGATAGCAGGGAGGAAATGTAATGGAGTAGATCTATGGCACAGTCAAAAAGCTAACATTGTTAGTTTTGAAAGCAGGGAAAGGTGGGACACTGCTGTGCGCAATTGGCTGCCACCTCTCACCCACAAAATATACAGTCAATTGACTTTGCAGTCTATCCTGTGAAGCGCTTTGAGGTGTCTCGAAGATGCAATAAGGTGCTATATCAAATGTAAGGATAATTATTATAAGGTGATTTGGGGAGGGTTCCAGAGACCAAGGCTGTCACTGATGATGAGAAAGTGGTTGTGAGGAACCAGCGTTAGACCAAGTAGGAGTGGAGAGTTTAGTATTATGTGAAAGATGGTTATTGAAGGCGGAGTGCTTTTTCTCCAACAGGTTTGCCTTGCCACAGCATGGAATATGATGGCTCATACACTTACGGAATTCTTTAAACAGTCGTCATCCACATCGAAGTTTGAGGTGTCTGTAGGGCTGCTGACCTCAGGGATGTAAGGTGCTTCACAGTTTCTTATGTTGTCCCAGTCAATGCCAGCAAAAAACGGATGTTTCTTGAAGTTCACAATGCCATTTTGACCGAGCCGATGTTCCCTGCTGCAAATAAGCCGACGGATCAGATCCTTGGCATTTTCAGAGACGTCGTTAATTTGTGCCGGAAACTGGAATCGTTCCTGAGAGAGGAAAAATTGGACACCGCAGTCAATAGCATAATTCCAAACCCACTCCTTCAGATCCTAGCTAAGTACCATGGTGACAAAAGCATGGATGACCACAGGTCCAGTTGTCCTCCTGCATTAACAGAGTTGTTCAAGACCCATAATCAAAACAGAGCAAGTCTAGCTGTAATAATAATAATCCTTGCATTTGATATAGCACATTATCATGTCTCAAAGTGCCTCACGGAATATAATGTAAAGTGAATTGACTATATAAGTTGTGGATGAAATGCGGCAGCCAATTATACACAACAGTGTCCCACAAACAGTGACAAAATTATTATTTTTTTATATAGGTATTATCATCTCCGGAAAAGCGATCCGCCAATCGACTAACAACCAGGTTCCTACTTACTGCTAGATAGACAAAGGTGTGTGGAGAAAGGAAACTTGACGCTTCGCCCTGCTGGGAATCAAACCCAGGTCCTCTCGCTTGCAAGGGGAGGGCTCTAATCACTGAGCTACAGGACTGCATTTATTTAGTGCCCTTCACGTGGAGTAGCATTTCTTTCCATTTTCATAAAAATTATAAACATATTCAAGACTGAGATAGATAGATTTCTTATTGCAAAAGGGATTAAGGGATATGGGGATAAGGCAGGGTTAGGTTATTAGCTGGAGTTAGATTACAAGATCAGCCACGATTGAATGGCGGGACAGGTTCGAAGGGCCGAATGGCCTCCTCCTGCTCCTACATGTTATGTTATGTTATAAAACGAGAAACGGTAATATACCAAGTTGACACTTCAATGCAGTGTCAGAGAGCCCTGCATTGTCAGAAGTAATCGATCAGATGACACTGTGATACTATTGCAAAAGAGGTGGTGTCCTGACAGTAACATTATGATAGTTGTTAACAATGCTTTATCTACCCCAAAGATCTTACATGTACAAAAAGTATAGAAGTCAGAAGAACTCTCTTGCACAGAAGTAGAATTACAAAAGCACTCACTTTGTGGTTCATGATCTTCCCGTAAGTCTCTACCAATGATTCTGCATAAAAAGGAGTCTCCCCGAAAAGCATCTCGTACATGCAAACACCCAGCGACCACCAGTCACATTCAGGCCCGTACTTCCCTTTACCATCCTCCATGGCTTGCAGTATTTCTGGAGAAATATAGTCCGGCGTTCCCACTGCCACAGAAGACTGGACCTGGGTTAGAAAACATATACATTAGCTATTCGCAATCAAACACTGCAAAGCTTCATGGGGCTCCAGTTGGAAGTATTGTGTCCAGTTTAGGGCAGTTTTAGAGAATGGTTATTGTAGCAATGGGAAAGGTACCATGGAGGTCGACTGACGCCATATCAGGGATGGGTTTTTGTACTTTTGTGGAGAAAACTAAAATGTTGGACCTCTTTTCTGCTGGTTCACAGAAGGTAGGAAATAAAATGGAGGTTTCCAAAATTTGCTTTATAAGATAAATAGAGAGAACCTATTTTAATAATAATAATCCTCGCATTTGATATAGCACCTAATCACGTCTTTGAGACGTCTCAAAGCGCTTCACACAATATACTGTAAAGTGAATTGACCGTATAATTTGGGGGCAAAATTTTCATTGGTTAGCCAGTCAGTAACAAAAGAGTTTCAATAACTTGCAGCAAAAAAGATTGTACCCAGAGAGTTGTTATAATATGGAATTCGTTTCCACAAATTATCTGTTCTGCCCGCCTCACACAAAGGCTCATAGCATCCATTGAGCGCTCCCAGATAGCATGGCTTGGATCAGTTTCTAAGGGTGAAAAATGACAGCTGTGTCTCTTTCTGTTCTCTTCTAGGACTTGGAGTTTCCTCTTCTATTACCATGTCAATGATATATTGACACAGAAAGAGGCAGCTGACACAATTGTTACTATCGACACAATAGTTCAAAGCAAAGTTCATGAAATTTTAATGGTGGAGAGTGAGAATCATCTGGGAGAGTAATTACACTTTGTGAACTAGGACTATGCTCTGAACAGTCGTTGCAGTATTTGAGATCTAGTTACCCAATGCTATTTGTGTGCAGCTCGCCAGCTAACACGAAAAGCTCCTGTGTGTTGGATGAGGAGGACTTCTGAGAGGAATTACGCACCAGTTTGAATTGAACCTCAGTATTGAGTACCCACATCTGGGATTCAACACAATCTTGCCCAAGCCACTGCCGCCAATACCCAACGGGTTATGGAGACTCGGAACACTGAGGTAAAATACCCCTCAAAGTTTTGACTCTATATCAGCATGATTCTTACAGAAGTGGTTACTTGTGGGTCGACCTCATATGAAAAAGTCACACCAGCTAAAATAAATTGATATTTTTGTAACTAACCTTTGAGAAAGTGGAGTAGCTGCTTCTACAGTATGATCAAGTCACTGCTTTTCCTCATAAACCAAGTGAAGATCAAGCAATTTCTCTTAACAATAGGTGCTTTGGTTAACTTAGCTTTTCTCCCCTTAAATGTTCTAAGACGACCGCACACATTTCTGACCTGTAAACCTGCGTTATTAATAATAATTCACTCCTGACCTAGATTCACACAACCAAAGTGCTCATAGAATACGTTGTGTGTTTTTTCCCTTGAGCTGCAAAATGCATGTCAGAAGGACTATGTCTCCAAATCTAATAAGTAATTACTAACACAGTCACATAGAGGGGCATCCAACCAACGTCTGGATTTGTTGTTTAATCCACGAAGTATGATGTGTTGAGCAGCTTCATTAAAAGTACTCATTGTTAAATCAAGAGCCTGTTTGGATGCCAAGACACAGAGGAGGATGCAAGCATACAGGTTATTTAAATGGGTAACTAGGCCAGTGTGGGCAGGATCAGCAGGTGGGGGGTGGGGACGTGTTGGCATCTCTTCGGTCATGCTTAACAAAAGCTCCATTTGTTATTGTAAATATCGCACATAGTAAATATTGAGTGCTTTGACAATAACAGCACAAATTGAACAGCAACAGCAGCTTCCTCACAATTACAGGATGATTCAGGAGCAAGTCATAAACATCTCCAATAACTAAATTTTTAAAGATTATTATGGCAAAACGATAATAATAATCCTTGCATTTGATATAGCACCTTATCACGTTTTCGAGACGTTTCACAGAATACACTGTAAAGTGTATATTTTGTGCGCAAACCGCGGCAGCCAATTGCACATAGCAGTGCCCCGCAAACAGTTGTGGATTGAGCGACATTTTTTAAGGGATCTGCCAATCGACCAGCAACCAGGTTCCTACTTACTGTTAGGTAAACAGAGCCATGTAGAGTAAGGAAACTTTCCCAACGTTTCGCCCTGCCGTGAATTGAACCCAGGTCTTTTTGCTTGCGAGGCGAGTGCTCTAACCACTCCACAAGACTTCACGATGATGAACAAGGTTGGAATAATGCACAATCTTTACAGAATATGATCACCATTAATGATCTGTCCTGAAAAGTTAACTGCAGCCAAAATTGTATCAAATTATTCTACATAAATTGAGTGAAGACCCATGAGCTGGACACAACAACTAAAAATTACATTTATATGGCTGTTTGTGGGGTCCAGTATCTTAGTGGTTATAGCACTTGCCTTGCAAGTGAGAGGATCTGGATTCAATTCCTGGGCAGGGCGAAATGTTGGGCAACATTCCTTATTCCACATGTCTGTTTAACTAGCAGTAAATTGGAATCTGTTTGTTAGTCGAATGGTGGATCAGTAATTGAAAAAAAGAAATTGGATTACTCAATCCATGACTGTTTGTGGGACGCTGCTGTACTCAATTGGCTGCTGCGATTCGTCCACAGAATATATAGTCAATTCACTTATATATATTCTGTGAAGCCCTTTCAGAGACTCTTGAAGACGCTATATCAAATGTAAGGATTATTATTATTATTACATAATCTCTTCTAGGATCATGTTGTTGGAACAATAGATTCCCCATGACCATTTGCACTTCTCTCCAAATTATTTGCCTTAAAAATATTTGCTGGCTAAAGGGTGAGGGCACATGGGTCCTCTGCCAGCACTGCTGTCAACCCAAATTTGTGACAGTATCTTCTCTATTGCCCTCAACTTTCTCTCCCTCTAAGAATTGCCTGCCTTTGCTAGTGTCTCCTCTGCAGATTGACTGCTGGGAATGTAAACTCATCACACAGAGAATGGGAACGGAACTCCGTCATGTCATTATATTGAAGTTGCACACTTCCATTGATTTGGGGTTTGATCCCTTAAACATTATGGACCATAGAGGTGAACTAGTAACTGCAACATGCACGATGTTATGATGAAAACTGACTGATTTTGTTTTGCCAGCAAAGTGGGGTGACCCCAAAAGGTCCTGATCTCACCATAGCTAATGAGGGGTGGGGAGGGGGTGGGCAGAGATGAAGTGAGAATGTGAATGAGCTGATGAGAAAGAGAGAGAACACAAAAGAATACGACAAGGTAGTGAGAGAGAAAGCAAGCATGTTTAGAAAGAGAGAGTGAGTGTAAAAGCCAATCACGGAAAAAGAGATAAGCCATGATAAAGACAGAGAATTCCCAAAGGGAAAGGGATAATATCAGCCCTCATTCCTGGAATTCACTCACACACATCTTTCACAACATTAATGGTGAGGTCTGGATTTGCCCTCTCAGCCAAGATAGCGTGGAGGACCTTGGAAAGTCTTACTGGAATTTGAGGAACTAAATGAAGTTTGTCAAAGTTATACAAAACACAGCCCACAACACAGCCTACAACACAGCTCTAGAACCAACAGGAAATGAAATCGCTAGAGTACACCTCAAAAGCTGCTGCCCTTCATCAGTCATCAATGACTGATAGACAGACTGGTGACATCGACTCCTGGCTGGACTGATAGTAATATACGATTTTTCTTTAGCATTTTCTCTTCTTTCTTCAATGATGTCAACAGCCATCACGTTTTCTTCTTCGGTTGGGTGGGTGTGAAAGTCAAGACAAGGAGTTAAGTGCGGGTTTGATTTAGCTCACAGGTGGGATTAGTCAGCAAAGGTGAGGTAACACTTAGCAGCCTGGCCAAGAAATACCCAAACTACAGGATCCATAAAGGTTCAAGGCAAGTCTGAATGCCCAACAAGCCAGATTTTTGAACTTCTAACCTGGAGATCTAACACTCAGCTGGAGGTACTCATCTGGCCGTCTCAGTGGGACAAGTGCTCTCTTCCTTTCATCTGAGACGACAAGTTTGTACCCAAGCAAAGCAGACGAGATAAAACCTTAATAACATTTAAAGTTCATTCGTGAAGTTTGGATCCGTTGCAATTTATGATCTAGAACCTACAAGTCCAAGTCCCAGGTGGCATCCAATTTGGGCCAAGGGGAACAGTCAATAATTTGGATGGAAGAGGAAGGGTCATAACTGAGACATCTGCCATGATCGCCCAAACTAACACAGCCATTGGCCATGCAGTTACTAAGACAGCTGTGTGATGCAGGATGGGAAGTAATAATAATAATCCTTGCAACTGATAGAGCACCTTATCACATCTTCAAGATATCTCAAAGCGCTTCACAGAATATACTGTAAAGTGAATTGACTGTATATTTTATGGGCGAAACGCGGCAGCCAATTGCGCACAGCAGCGTCCCTCAAACAGTCTTGGATTGAAGTAACCAAATTATTATTATTATCTTTTTTTTAAGTAGACCTCAGAGATCAATCTCACTCTGAAAATTAAGGATTGGCCTCTTCAAATCAAAATTTCAGCATTGACAGCCTGAAAAAAACGTCTTGAAAGTCGCACCTGCAACCTGCTGTTACAACCTCTGCCTCAGGCCACCAGACTTCACCATAAGCCTGCTTAGGGAATGGGGGAATGAATGGGTGCTAATAATCCATCAGCAATAAGCAGTCAGTAGACAGAGGGCATGGGCAGTAGAAGCTCACTAATCAAGTAGCGATATTTATCGCAGTTTGCAACAGCACAAAGATGTGAAGTTTTCTGACAGGATTATATTAAAAGGAAAATAATGTGCATTATTGAAAAGTTGAACTGAGAACTTAGCAGTGAAGGCTGTTGAGTTATCTGAAGTGTGCACGCTAGGACTGTGGTGCTGGTAAGGCCAGCGTGCTCCTCACTGCTGTTGATGGTGAGAGCGAGCGTGAGACACACATACACACAAACACGTGCTGCCTGCCTGGGTTACCTCATCACTGCTGTGTAGACAAATCAACCGCTGGAAGGAAGGAAGGAGATGAGTATAGATCTTTACAAATATATGTATATAGATTCATCATTTATTTCATGCACATGTTACAAGCCCACATTAGAAATACAGAATAAGGGAAACTTAAGTGTACAAATTAAAGAGAACAAGATTTTGTTGTTCTCATTGTCCCAAAGCCCAGTTGTGTGTCAATAGGGACTTATTTATGTGGAGATACGTGAGAAGTTGGGATTGTTCTCCTTAGAACAGAGAAGGTTAAGGGGAGATTTAATAGAGGTGTTCAAAATTATGAGGGTTTTTTATAGAGCAGATAGGGAGAAACTATTTCCACTGGCGGGTGGCTCAGTAACCAGAGGACATAGATTTAAGATAATTGACAAAAGAACCAGACAACAGAGGAGGAGACATTTTTTTAAATAGCGAGTTGTTACGGTCTGGAATGCACTGCCTGAAAGGGACAGATTCAATAACAATCTTCAAAAGGGAATTGGATAGGTACTCGAAAAGGAAAAACTTGCAAGGATATTGGGAAAGAGTGAGGGAGTGGGACTGATTGGGATGGGCCGAATGGCCTCCTTCTGTGCTGTAATATTCTATGATTCTATGACTGCAACAAGGCCATGACATTGCAAAGGGAGATTGTCCTCTGCACTTGAATCACATAATTCTCCTTGCAAAATGCTTGACAGGGGATACCGGGCACAATATTGGTTACATTTTCTAGTTGCAGAAAATGCCATTGCTGAGAAGGACACATTTACCAATCATTAAGACAATATATTTGAATTCCCTGGATCCAGAGTATCATGTGAATCAGACAAAAAGGACCGTAAAGGCTAAAGATAAAAAATAAAGAGATAAGTGCCTGGAAACTAAAAGTATTCAAATATATTAACTGATGAGATAAATGTGTCAAAGGAAGGTTCCGAAAGACCGAAAGGACTAATGATCTACTCTTGCCTAAAAGAGTCACAAAAGGAAAGATTCTCGGAACTTACTGTCCCATCTTCCATGAGCTTAAGGCAGGAGCCGAAGTCTGCCAAGCGAATATGACCGTTCACATCCAATAGAATGTTGTCTGGTTTGATGTCCCTGAAATAAGAAACACACCATTAGCAAAAAGCTTCAGCTCTGATTAGTTAAAAAAAGAGACAAGAACAAAGCAAGGCCACTTAGATTAAAAAAAAAGCAAAGTAAAAATGTGAGATTGAAACATTTATGGATTGAGCTAATAATTGAGGAGCTCTCAATGGCCTGGGGTAAGGGCAACGAATATGGTGACTAGATAGAACTTCTGTTGCTTTGCCAGTTGCAAATCATTGAAGGCAAAATCCCCACCTTGCTGCACTCTCATTATTGCAGGTGATGAGATTTAAAAAGACCATTAAAAAGACCATTGCGTTTCTGTTTGACAGCACTTACCAAAAAAGCGAGGTGAGCACCAGTCAAAGTGATCTCAAGTATTGACAGTTGTGCTATCCTGAGGGAATGAGAAGAGGCAATGCAGTATGAAGGATAAGACCTTCACCTGGCTTCCTATCCTCAGTTCCCAGGTACAGCAGAGTTGCAAACATTAACAGTTAATTAATTTCAGCTATTATTCCAGTCACTCCCTGGAATTTCTGGTCTCTTATAAAGGTCTAAAAACAGTAGCCTTCAGGGCTTGTATCAGCAGTAGAGAAGAAATTGTAATAATAATAATAACAATTGTAGGTCACATACTGTGTGTGGGAATAATTAAACTAGGAGTGAGACAGAGGTGTGGAAGTGCTTCAAACATTGGGAGTATTATTTTTGTATTTGGGGCTGACTATGGTACTGCAGATCCATGTGGGAATCGTCTCAGACCAACTAAAAGTTGTTGAGGGAATGGGAAAAATGTTTTGTCATCAAAAAGAGGACTGAGCTTCGTGTGGCAGTTCTCCCTTTGTGTGGTAAAATTAATGATGGTGACTGAGGTTGGCGGACGCCAGACTACTAAGTGCCTTCATTTTCCAGCCTCCCTAAACTAGATTATGCTACCATTCTGTCGTCATCATGAATCTTGCAATGTCTACAACAGCACAAATTGCATTTGCATAGTGTCTTTCCCCTAGCAGAATATCTCAAAATGCTTCACAGTGAGTGAGAAGTAGGCGGGTGGGTCGGTAACCAGAGGACATAGATTCAAGATAATTGGCAAAAGAACCAGAGGGGAGATGAGGAGAGTTGTTACTCTCTGGAATACACTGCCTGAAAAGGAGGTGGAAACAGATTCAATAACAACTTTCACAAGAGAATTAGATAGGTACTTGAAAACGGAAAAAAATTGCAAGGATATGGGGAAAGAGCGGGGAAGTGGGACTGCTTCAGTAGCTCTTCCAAAGAGCCACTACAGGCCAATGTTGAATGGACTCTTTCTGTGTGGTAATATTCTTTGATTCTATGAGGTAGCCTAAAGTATAGTTAGAGATACATGTTTAAGATGGGTTTTCAAAATGGAGAGGAAGGGAATCAGACAGCGGGATTCTGGAAAGGAGTTCCAGTCAGCTGGGGGCAGCTAGGCTGAAGGCTTGGACACTGATGGTGAGGTGCAACACATGAAGCAGACCAAAGTTAGCATAGCAGAGAGAGTGTGTGGGGTAGTATAGCAGCACAGGGAGATAAAAGATGCAGTGAAGCCTTTTGAATAAAAGTCGAACCACCCCCAAAATTATAACTGCGCCCCCATTTCTCCAACGTTTTCGACAAGCTCCATCCGGTCACATTCCTATTAGTAGTTGACCTTGTTAAAAAAGCTGTTTATTGTTTTTTATTTGGTACACGCAGAGATAATTAGTTATTCATAGCACCAGAGGGCGATCTCCACTCAGTGATCTCCAATGACCATTGGTAAACACCATGCAAACACAGGAGGGTACACGGGACAGAGGCATGATGCGAGATTTACAACATCGAATAACACGGCATTTCCATTTCAATAGTGCAGGCTAACAGATTAACACAGAGCTCTAGAGCAATGCAGTTCCGGTGAGAGTTCAACAAGCGGTACAAGGATATATAAACAACAACTTGTATATAGCGCTCCTCATGCAGGGTAGCGCCCCAGAGTGCATGACAGTGGCGGCACATGACACCAAGCCGGTGGGAGGTGACGTAGGCATGGTCGAAGAGGAAGGTCTTCAGGAGCGACTTGAAGATGGGGTAGGAAGAGGCAAGGCAGAGGGATAGAAGAGTGTTCCAGAGTTTCAGGATGTAGTGGCTGAAAGCACGGCCACCAATGGTGGAACAGAGGACACAAGGGACACAGGAGGCCCAAGCCAGTTGAGCGAAGGCAGCGGGTAGTGGGTTTGGGGGTAAGCAGGTCAGGGAGGTAGGGTGGTACCAGGGCATGAAGGGATTTGAAAACAAGCATGAGGATCTTGAAATTGAGGATCTTAAATTGAGCAACAGTAATAATAATCCTTGCATTTGATACAGCGCTTTTCTTCTCGATGTCTCAAAGTGCTTCACAGAATAGACTGTAAAGTGAATTGAGTGTATATTTGTGGGAGAAACGCGGCAGCCAATTGCGCACAGCAGTGTCCCACAAACAGTCGTGGATTGAAGTGACCAATTTATTTATTTTTTTCTTGAGGGATTATTATCAGGCGTGTGGAGTAAGGAAACTTCCCCAAGGTTTCACCCTACCGGCAATCGAACCCAAGTTTCTTGCTTGTGAGGCGAGTGCTCTAACCACTGAGCCACAGGATTCCACTAGCCAACAAGCCAATATATTCCAACTATTAAATAGATAATAATAATAATAATCCTTGCATTTGATATAGCGCTTTTCACGTCTTCTAGACGTCCCAAAGCGCTTCACAGAATATACTGTAAAGTGAATTGACTGCATATTTGTGGGCGAACGCTGCAGTCAATTGCGCACAGCAACGTCTCACAAACAGTCGTAGATTGAAAATGACCAATTTATTATTGTTTTTGGTTTTGGAGGATTATTATTAGGCTCTGTGTGGAGTAAGGAAACTTGCCCAAGGTTTCGCCCTCTGCCTGGAATTGAACTCAGGTCTCTCACTTGCAAAGCGAGTGCTCTAACCACTGAGCTACAGGACTCCACAATGTCACTGACATTATACGTAACTGATCAACAGCAACAAAGGGTTACTGTGCTGAACTTTGGCTGAAATCGTTCACCAAGAAGCAGTCATCAGTGGAAAAAATAAGCCAACAGTCCTCAGGACTCCTAAATCAATACTGTTCACAATTTACCAAATCAAGGGTTTATGCTTGAAATACATTTGAACTTGAACAAGAAGCCTGGGTTGTACAGCCCCCTCACTTCTGGAACCCTGTGTGAATTCAACCCAAACTAATTGGACAACGGTTTCTTTCTGGTTCGCTCTTTCTCTAACTCTAATGTTGAATGTCCAAACTTAGTGTGAATGAATTCTCTATGGGAAAGAATCCACAGCATAAGACTGTCCCTAAATCAGTCAATCAGTCACCTCACACAGACAAAACCCTTGCACTTATATAGTGACCTCCACGCAGTGTAGCGTCTCAGAGCACTTAAACAGTGGTGGAGCCCGACTCCGGGCCGGGATGAGGTGGCCGTAACACGGTCGAAGAGTGAAGTTTTCAGGCGGATCTTGAAAGAGGGGAGACAGAGCACAGGTTCAGGTCAGGTGCGTGTAAAGGTTAAGTTTAGGATAGACACCAGGAATGGTTTCTATTCACAAATGAAAATTCATTACTACAGGGATGGTGATTGAGCACAGAGCATTGGATTTATTCAAGAAACTAATTGATGTAGTAATGGGAGACAGTGGGGCTGAGATCGAATAGCTGAAGGACGTCTAAACCACTCTTTTGAAATATAATTCAGTAGGTGGTAAGAATGTGCAGGACTATGGGGTAAGATGGGGGGAGTGGAACTATTTGGTAGTTCTCTGTATGGAGAAAGGTAAGTGAGTCAACTTTTCGGGTCCACGACCCTTCGTCAGAACCTTGTAAAAAAAACTACTTTAATGTGTTGTTATTTGGTTCATGCAGAGATAATTAGTTATTCAGCGCCTTGGGACGTCCTCCCGACGTGAAAGGCGCTCTATAAATGGAATCTTGTTGTTGTTGTTGTTGTTGTTGTTATTCATGGCACCAGAGGGCGCTCTCCTCTCAGTGATCCCCAACTACCATTGGTTTCGCCATGCAAATACAGGAGGGTACACGGAACAGAGACATAATAATAATCCTTGCATTTGATATAGCGCTTTTCACGTCTTCGAGACGTCTCAAAGCGCTTCACAGAATATACTGTAAAGTGAATTGACTGTATATTTTATGTGCGAAACCCAGTAGCCAATTGCACACAGCAGTGTCCCACAAACAGTTGTGGATTGAGTGACCATATTATTATTTTTAAGGGTTTTTTTTACCCTCGGAAATGCGATCTGCCAACCAGGTTCCTCCTTACTGCTAGGTAAACGGAGGCGTGTGGAGTTACGAAACTTGCCCAATGTTTCCGCCCTGCCCGGGAATCAAACCCAGGTCCTCTCGCTTGCGAGGCGAGTGCCCTAACCACTAAGCTACAGGACCTTTTGCTAGAGGAAAAGCAAAACACTTCGACAGTGGAAGGAAAAGCGAAGCCAAAACAGAAGGCGGCATGGTCATGGTGCACTGTTTCCTGGTGGCCAATCCAGGGGTAGTACAGGAAAGAGAGTCAGCAGAATTGGCAAACATGGAGAAGCAGCAGTTTGGTGAAAACAACTCAAAACGATAAGCTAGTGTTTGAACCTTTTTGGTAAACCAGTGCCACTTGTCAAGCAGGACTATGCAGGAGAAGTTGCAGTCTCCTGCAAGCTTGCTAAATACATATGTGCATTTTTAAACTTAATATATTGCTGCACCAGATGCTCTGTGCATAAACAAGGGGGAAGACTATCAACTCATTTGTGAAAACTCTGGCTCCACTCTGCACAATTGGCTGCCGCGTTTTGCCCACAAAATTACATTTTTCTTACATGCATACATTCATACACGACTGGTCTGATTTCGCCCACCCCATCAGGGAAGCAAAGCTGGACAGTGTGAAAAACGGGGCACAGCTGAGGTTAAGT